ACCTATATGAAAAAACCTCCCATTCATTCGGTTAAATAAATAAAATATGCGTTCCTTAGTATTGAGAAGAAGTATACTATTTTCTTCTCATCGTTCTTATTAGATAAGCCAAAGCATAATGTCGTTACTAACAATTAATATGAATTACAAATTCAGATTTGTTGCTTGACAGTATCATTTTGCATTGATTGTATTATCATTTCAAACTGTTTAATGTCTCCAGTAATTTTCTCCAAGCTTGCTGCAACATTTTTCATATGTTCCCTATCAATTTGTACCTCTAAATCACGAATTTCTTTGGTCGTCTGACCAGTGCGTGATACCAGATCACATATTTCGTTACAAGAGGCATGTAATGAGGCCAACAATTTGTATGCTTGCTTGGCATGCGAATGCACTTTGGCACTTTGAAATAACAAATCATCGGTGTAGTTGAACTGACGCTGTAATTGCGCTGACACAGAGTTAAGTTGTTTCTGCAGGTCTCTAGTGTCATCAAGAATTTTAAAAATATCATTACGTTGTTTTCGAATATTTCCTATGAACTCATATATTCGCCGTGTATACTCTTTTCTTGGAGCGATTCCAATGGCGCACCTTTTTAACTCGTCTGCTAGTTGGATATGGGTACTGGTTTTTTCCTTCAGACTTGTTTCATAGTCCAGTATGGTTTGACGTAGCTCCTGAATGTTTTGCAAGTTTTTCGATTGTCTCAGTCTTTGTAGATCTTCAATTTGCTTTAATGCTGGCTTTCGGTGCGACTGCCATTGATTCTCAACGGTCAGTCGTCTTTCTCTGGTTTTATCTATAAGCCCATCCAGCTTGACGATGTTATCGTTAGGATTTTCCAAAATAACACAAGTACGTTCATGGAATTTCTGATCTTTACGCATGATGTCTATCAGAGCCACTATGTCTGCACGTTCTTGACGTATTTTACTGAGCTTATTATTGCAAGTTTGTAGCTCTTGTAAGCAAGAATCATTTATTTGTTGCAATTCTTCAACATTTTTGATAAGATTCTGGAGAGGAGTTGTTGCGCTTGCCACAACTTGGAGCTTATCTTCAGTATTTTTCATTGTGCAAGCTTCCACTGCTTGCAAAGATGGTATAATTGGATTTGGTTTATTATTGACTTTTATCTGCACACCTTCTAGACTTAGGCAAGGACTGTACAAGTCAACAGCGCATTTGTGTAATACTGAGCTCACCAGGTCACAGTCGGCTGCAGTTGCTTGTTGAAATATATTTGGTGCTTGATAGAACTCTTTCGACTGCGAATCGCTTTCAAATTGTGGAATGTGTAAGTTTAAATGAGGGGTAAAATCGACTGTAAGGCTACTGTTGCCTTCCCCTTTTCTATTAGCCAAACCACGGCAGTACTGAGGAACCCAGGGTGCTTTTAATTCCCTGGATACCTTATTTTTAACTTCCTTCAACAACAAATTGTATTCATTTCGTTCTCCACCGCCCTCAATGGAATCCAACGTATCATTTAATTTTGGTAGCTGCTCAATTAAAAACATGAACAACCGCCTGGTGTCCACCACATTCGGATAGAGAAACGTCTGATAGCCAATGTCACCTCGATAACCACATGATACACAAGCTTCAGCCAGAGCAGAGGCAATGGTAAATTTCTGAGCCATATTCAAACTTTCCGGCAATGATTTGGGTACAACAGCATCCGTCTTAATTGCTTGTAAACATCTTGACACCGATCTCGCAAGTATATCTGGTGTAAAATGATTTAAGGAAAACACTTCATTGTCATCTGCTTCCAGTTTACATCCGATTTGTTTTAATGAATGTATTATAATTTTATCGACTTCATCCATGTTTGATTCTGGAAGCACTCTCCAAAGTTTCAAGAGTTAGAAAACGTATCCTTTGGATTGTTAAATTATGTGGTTTATCGAACTCTTTCAAAATACTATTCACTGATAGGGATTGTGTGAACCGCACCAACAATCAGTTGGCAATTTACAGTCAACTCCATATAACGAAAACAATAAAAATCTGTCCATAAAGTGAGACTCTATAGATTTTTTAGATCAATTTTTATGTTCAATTATAGTGAAAACTAAGGAAATTCTCAATGTGGGCAAGTCTTGGCAGCTACTATTGCCGCTAAATCACCATACACATACGGATTTTCTCTAATATGTATTATACCCTCAGACATATGGCTACATTTGATACGGCCAAAACGTGCCTCATCGAAATAACGGGTTTAGATCCTAGGTCTCTTGGGTCAACTCCTCTGTCAGGACATTTGGAATTGATCTAGCGATGTCCGTTCTTCTGTCTGGCTCGAAGGGAGTATCCGATTTTATGCAAACTTGGGACATCGTAATATTATTGTTAAATTTAGATCGATTTCGGAGATGGGCAATATCGGGCCACTCCTTCCGGTACCTCCAACACAAATTGTCAACCTTTTTATAGAAAATAGTTTGCAGCACAGAAAGAGAAAGGATAATCCGATTTTGCTCCAACTTAGCAAATCCTAATATTTGCATCAGAGCTAGATCAGGTGCGAAAATAGATAATATCGGTCCACTCCTTCTGGTACCTCCCTCACAAAGGATCAAAGTTTTGAATATTCATGAAGGCCATAAAATGCGGAATTAACCTCCGATTCCATTCAGACTTGACACATCTCAATATTTCCATCAACACAAGATCTGCTATAAAGATGGTAGAGATCGGACCCTTCCTTTTGGTATTTCCCGCACAAAGGGTCAACGTTTTGAATAACCAAAACGATCATAAAATTCCAACTAAACATCCAGTTCTCTTCAAATTAGGCACATAACCATAGTTTTATTAACCGAAGGTCTGGTGTGAAATCGGGATATATCGGTCCACTCCTTCTGGTACCTCCCACACAAAGGGTCAACATTTTGAGTACCTATAAAACTCATAAAACGTTCCATTCAGACTTGGTACATCTCAATATTTCCATCATGGTATGGTACCTCCCCCACAAGATATAAGATTTTTAAAAAACAAAACGCTCAAATAAGCGATATAAGGATCCAACTCTCTTCAAATTTCACACATCCAAATATTTTTACTAACGTAAGATCTATTGTGAAGATGACATATATATCTGCCAACCCCTTCTGGAACCTCGCCCACAAAACGTCACAATTTCCAATACTTACATCTGTGCGAAACAAGTCGGCGATTCTTTACAACTTGCTTCTTCTGAATATTTATCTTAAAAAGAAATCTGATATGAATGTAGGCGGCACGTTGTAATATTTGTATCAGTCTTACCTCAGATACGAATTGGTTAATATTGCTTTGGATCCTCCCCTATAATGAGTTTGAATAATCATAACTCAAGGCTGGGGGTATACATCTGTCGGCAAAACCGACTGATACTATTTTACTTGTTATTTATTCGTATTGATCTTCATAGAATAGAAAAATTACGAAACAAAATATGGATGATTTTTTTTTTTTTAATTTTTTATGTTCCTTCCAAAAGTTAGGCCCGGCAGAACTTCCCTCCTTTTTGCTTGTTCATACATGGGAAATGATCTATAGTTTTTACACATATGTATGTGAATCTATCTATTTCTATAGTAATGTTTTATAGAGGCGTATAAGTTCGCCATGTCCCCACATATTAGTAGAGGTCTCAGCCAGAAGAGGCCGTGCCATATAACAGTATTGGTGGCTCTCGACTATTTAAAGGCCTTTGATACTGTCAATCATGCCACGCTGTTTGAGGACGTTCAGAATACGTAGTCAATTACATGTATGTACGCCAGTCGCACGTAGAATTCCGGAATAAGAAGTCCAAGTATCGTAGAGTGAAACAGGGAGTTCCCCGAGGTGAGCTGATATCTCTGGAACTGTTTAACCACTATTTTATCAGAATTACGCGCCCTCCAGACGGCATTGAAATCGTTACCTATGCGTATAACAGTACGATGATGGCGTACGTCCTGTCGTTGATGAAATATGTGCCATTACAATGTGACTGCCACATTCTTGAAGTCCATAAACCCCAATATATACTACTGCTACAACAACGACAGCCCATAGAGCTCAAGCGTATTGAATGCACTCAAAGCGTTTCTGAAATACACATTACACCAATTTTGTGTGTCAGACACACTAAAAATACATGGTGAGAGCTGATTGTACTCAAGATTTGACACGCTGATTTTGAAAAAATTAACAGTGAACAAAAAAAAAAAAATGATAACCATTACATTCAGCTATACAGGTATGTCAATAAATCGTATCGAAATGTTTTGAATTTCGTAATTCAAAATCGTTCGTTTTTGTTTTAGCTTCTTCAGATTTCGTACGATTTGGTAAACTACGATTTCAGTGTAAATATGGCAACATTATATATTCAATATGGTAACATTAGGGGAATGAAAGAACGAATGAATGAGGAATCAACACAAAACACATGATTAGAATCATTGTAGAAGTGTATTCTGTTTAAAAGAGATGTTTGTGCAAAAACAAACATTCCAATTGATTCCTCAATTTCTCTGAGCACATATTTGTCGAAAGGACCACCACCAGTTATTGCATATTCTTTTTTATTGTGACACCATGTCTTTTTCCACCCATTGCAATGTTTGGTGGGTGGTCCCGAGGAATTTTGTTTTTCAGCAATATGTGACCAACTTGTTTCGGCAACCACTCGATCACCTTTGACATAGCCCCTCGCTAGGTGCTGGTGGCTCTCCATAAAATCTATGACAATTGTTTCCTGTGCCTGCCCCTAAGAAAAAAGTGATTTAAAAAAAAAAAATGATGTGGCAACACTTTGTTAACAATTGCATTCGTCAATTGAGAAACCATTAAAATTTTCTAATTATTTTTAATTGTTATTACTTAAAAGTGTTTTGAGAGTGTTGTAAAGTCATATGTTTCCATAAAAACACAATTTCACTTGCAAAAATAAAGAAATATCGAATCTTCCTCAAATAATTGTTAAAAAATTGCAAAAATTAAACTAGTACTTTGCTCAGTTGGGTATCTAAATATGGATTTTTTGTTTTTATTAAATTTTCTTATAAAATAAATTGGACTTTTTTATACAACTTTAAAGGGGACACAAACTACAGTGTATAAGTAATTCTTAGAATAATAAAATATGTATTTCATTGTTGTATTTAATTGTATGTGAAATTTATTATCGCATAAATATTATTTTTTGGTGCTAGAATACTAATTGTTTATTAATTGTGTGTGTTTGATTAAGTTTAATATCCTAAAATAATAATAGAACAAGAAAACATCCTGGTACGGAATTTTGTTAGACATATTCATGAATATGGACAATTATTTTTGTAATTCATCTTATAATGATGAATATATTAAATAAAATACACAATAATACGCTTATGAATAGTATATAAATCTCTACATTAAGGAAGAAAACAAGGAAGATAATTTTGAAGTTTATGTTGTTAATTTATATTTGAAATGCATTCCGAATCGTAGAAGCAATCTAACTTCAAATTTAACGACATTATATTTTTAACATAATGCATTTCAACTCAAATAGTAATGCTAGTTTTGGATGCGCCATTATTTTTGGGTGTAAAGGTTTTCTTTTTTATACATGCGTATACAATATGTTGTAATCTTCTATGTAATTGTAAATTGTATCCGTATTGTAATTGGGTTTAGTAATTGTAAGTTGCATATAAAAATATATGTGTATATTATCAATTATAATTGTTCACGTCTCTAGGTAAATGATTCTGTGTGTTATTATTTGTTTGCGTTTCTCGATAACGTGTGTGTGTATATATAGTGTTCATTTTAAAGATTATTGTGTTTTTCGAATAAAGAGGCACGTGCAATACTTCCGCAAAAGTCACAAAAATGTTGGTCTAATCATCACCGCCAACGTCATCATCCTCATCCTCTTGTGCCAATAAAGCACTATTTCGAGACATTTTCATATAGGCTGCACAAATGCATTCACATACAAAACGATATTGGCTCTAAAATGAAACAATTTAAAATTAAATTAAATATATTTTTTAATAGATATAAGCAACAAAACCCCTATAAATCGAATTACTTAAGAGACTACCTGTTTTAACCAGTTTTTGGTTGGTAAGACTTTCATCTATTATTTTCCAACTAACATAAATATGCTTTACATAACTTTGCAACACTTTAGAAATAACTAACAATTTTTCTAATTATACCCTCAGCCATATGGCTAGGGAGGGAGCATCCGTTTTGATCCAAACTTAGTACATCGTAATATTATTGTCAAACTTAGATCGAGTTCAGAGATGGGCAATATCGGTCCACTCCTTCTGGTACCTCCCCCCATAAAATGTCAACATTTTCAAAGAAAAAAATTTATTGCACAGAAAGAAAAAGGATAATTCGATTTTGCTTCAACTTTGCAAATCCTAATATTTGAATCAGTGCTAATTGACAATATCGGTCCACTCAAACAAATATATAATCATAACTTTTATAAAACACACATCACGCTATTTTTATTAATCCAAGCTCTGGTGTGAAGATGGAATATATCGATCCACTCCTTCCCCATAAAGGTTCAACATTTTAACTTTCCGTAAAACTCATAAAACGCGAAATTAACATGTTATTCCATTCAGACTGGACAAATCTCAAAATTTCTATTAACACAAGATCTGTTATAAAGATGGTAAAGATCAGACCATTCCTTCTGGTACCTCCTCCACAAAGGGTCAAAGTTTAAATAACAAAAACGATTTTAAAATCCGAAATATACATCCGGCTCTCTTCATATTTCGCACATCACAATATTTTTATTACCCCAAGGTCTGGAGTAAAGATGGAAAATATCGGTCCACTCAACTGGCAGCTCCCCCACAAAAGGTCGAAATTTTCACAAAAAATATTTTACTGCACAGAAAGAGAATGGATAATTCGATTTGGTTCCATTATTGTGAATCCTAATATTTGCATCAGTGCTAGGTCAGGTGCGAAAATGGACAATATCGGTCCACTCCATCAAGTACCTCACCCACAAAGGGTCAACATTTTGAACATCCGTGAAGCTCATAAAACGCGAAATTAACATGTGATTCCATTCAGACTTGGTACATCTCAAAATGTCCATGAATTCAAGATCTGTTATAAAGATGGTATAGATCGGACCATTCCTTCTCGCACGTCTCTCACAAAGGGTTCAAGATTTTGAAAAACAAAACGCTCAAAAAAAGCAAAATAAGCTTTGAACTCTCTTCAAGTTTTACTGATCTGTTGTGTAGATGATATATATAACTGCGAACCCTTTCTTTCTGGTACCTCACCCACAAAAGGTCACCATTTTCAATAATATTATCTGTCATAACTTGAGAAAAAAGTGAGCTATTTTTCTAAAAATGATCACATATAAAATGAAGGAAGTATTCGATATAGTCCAAACCTGGCACGTCGCAATATTTATATCATATTTATTTGGATGCGACACGAAATGGACAATATTAGCTCATTCCTTCGGATCCTACTCCATAGAGGGTCAACAATTTGAATAATCAAAATATATTTAAATAATCGAATATTGGCTGAGGGTATACATCAGTCAGCAAAACCAGCTGATTCTTTTAAACTAGTTTTCAAATCATTGTCACATAATTTACATACCACATTTTGCACCATACAAGCTCTTTGATCACGCATTGTACGCACAATGTCCAACGGATAGACTGGTTCCCGAGCCTCCATCAAGGCTAATGCTGTATCCATTAGTATCAAAACACCTGTACGCCCAATACCAGCCGAACAATGCACTATCACAGGTGGATTAGCAGCACTAATACATCTGCAACGTAAAAATACATTTAATAATGGAAAATTGGAAGCAATTTATTGAATTGCAAAAAAGAAGAAATTCTTACTGATGGACACTTGTTGAAACTGGTGTTTCATCTTCGGGAGTAACACCATTACTTGCAGCACATTTGCGTTCGCCCATAATACCACCATTTTCATCAGCATCAGCATCTAAAAGCCGAACTTGTTTAAGACTTTCTTCGATTTCCTGCAGCAATGTACGATTGCGAGCATTTCGAACTCGTTCCACAAATTCCAAGAAAAGATTTGGATCTGAGGGAACACAATGATCGGGCCAGGCAAGATATTGCATATGTTGTATATGACGTTGTTCGCCAGTACGCCTGTCACATAGCAGAAACTCCCGAAAAACAAAACTTCCTGTCTCGTCTGGTTTTTCACTAAGACATTTCACACACAAACCCTCGCCCAACTGTAGTTCATCTCCTGTTACTGGCCAATATTGGTGACATTTTTGTCTGCCAGCTTCCATTACTGTCGTTAGCATTACAACTAAGTGACTACTTTCCTGTTGCACCATACGCCAGAAATCCGTTGTTGTGGAGGCCAGAGGACCTTGGGTGGCAATATATCGATTAATGCCTCCTGGGATTTCCATATTTACATAGTTTGCATTTATATAATCACCGCTCGAGCAATTGACTAACGTTACGCGCGTACAGTCATATGGCGATATATCACGATAACGATTTTTAGCAACATTTTCAGGTTTTCTGGCTTCCGTTATGGCCAGGTCGGGATTTTTACGATACATCAATTCGTATTGAGCCAAAAGCGCACCTGAAGCCAGGCCATCGCTAAGTAACAATAAACTTTGTGTAAACAGAGCATCTCCATCGAGCAGGTTTGAATGTGAGCCTATCTCGTCAGTTTCCGGTACATATTGATATAGAGGTTCTTCTTCTTCGGTTAGAGCTGGACCTGTTGAGCAAGGACGCATTGTAAGTAGCAATTCGCCGGTACGTGTGTTGCGGCAATCTTTTATCATATTGACAACTTGTTCGTGTGTCAGTCCAGTGACTTCTCTGCCATTAATGAGGACAACTTCGTCGCCTTCACAAACCCTTGGCGTACAACGATCGGCAGGCGTATGGGGCACAACTTTTGACACCTGAACCGGCAATCCCAAGTCAATGCCACCCTTGACATTGAATCCAAAACGACCATGTTCATCGGCCAGCAAACGTATTGTTATTAAATCGCTACCACTTTCTGGGGCTGTAGAACAACCATTCATGTAAGGGTTCATGCCTGCACATATTTGAGTGCCGTTTGGACTATGCGATCCCGTACTATATGCGGGTACTGGAGATTCAAAGCGGCGACCACATTGATCAATATAGCCAGTATCTCTGTAAAAGTTACAAAATATGATGGTTAAATACATATAGAACTGTCGGGTTACTGCAGTAGGAAATCCTTACAGTTGGATGTCATATTCATCACTTTGTTGTTCCCAAGCTTTACGAGGCATTGTATCCAATTGTTTTGACGTAACTTTATTGTCATGATGTGGACGGCTGGTTTTTGTTATAGTTAAAATGGACGTATGTGTGGCAGCAATAGCGGACGGAGCTTTACCATTGTGAGAAACACTGCCATTACTATCAGAGCCGCTGGCTCCATTTGCTAAGGGGGACATTGTAGTGCCACCTGGTCCAATAGCAATAAGCCGTTTACTTGGTGAACGTACAAAGGCCTTGTGGATCTTAACACGTTGTTTTGATTCCTGTACGGCTTGCAATTCGGTACGCCCAGAGTAATAGAATCTGAAGGCAAGTAACAATTTTAAGAACTTCAATATTTTTTTATTTTTGTGTGGAACTTACTTTGATCCCAAGCTTAAATTAAGAAATCGTGATAAACGATGTGGCCGTTTCAGTCGGAAGAAAGAATGATGCTCAACACAGGATTTCCATAATGATTTTGCATGCTTGTGTGATGTCATACTAAAGCCCAACAGAGTGTCATAGCTTTCGGACTAACGAAAAGAAAAATATACATTAAATAGGTATGTACTCCGGAAAGAAAGTCTGAAAAACTCACCGGTTCTCGGCGCAGCTGAATGAAGAAATCTTTACGCTTAAAAGAAACTTTGACCATTTTGGACCAAGAAAATGTGTTTATCCGTAAACCGTTTTGAAACACTAATAGGCCTATGGCCGATACACCCAATTGCAATTCTTTGCCATTGGAATCCTGCCATTGTAAAAAATGATTGTTTTAATAAATATTTTTTTTTTAAATATACACTTTCTAATACACACCATGGCTTTGTGTAAATCAATTCCATATAAATCAAGTCTTTTTGCATGTTCTAAATAATTATATTCGGCATCCGCAGGCAACTGACCGCGGTGTAGTTTATGTAGTTCAGATATTTTGCGTTCAGCATCTGGGGTTTGATCAGCTAATAATTGCATATTACTCAAGTAACCAGCCTGATGTTCCGTGGGATTGAAATCGCCCAGTTCAGCTATAGAAAAGACCAATCATTTGCCTTCAAACATTTACAAAATATTCCAAATAATACTTACATTGCACTGTATAACTTGCCAACAGACATTGTGTATTAAGTGAACATGGCAACTTGCCCAATAATATGTTACGTTTTATTTGTAAATAAAACTGATAACGTGTAAATTCTTCTTGTAAACGACTGGGATCACTTACATAAAACTACAAACAAAATAATGGATAAATACATTAGACAGCTGGCGAATATAGATAATAATTAAATATTTACCTTAACCCTAAATTCTAGCAGTGGTACGGCGTCATTGTCCAAAGCAATACTATTGCATTGTTTCTTGAAAGGCTTTTGGGCATCAACCCACCGCTAAAACAGAACAAAAGATAATGTGATAACAATTATGTTTCAAATAGTTTTAATTTTATTCTTTGAACTTACCACAACATCTCCTGGTTTTGAGGGAAATAATAGGCCAAAATAGTCCCTTTCGGATAGTTCGAGAAACTGATATACTTGCTCCAGTAAATCACCGCCTTTGGCGCGTTTCTAAAAATAAGGGAAATATTATTATAGTTTATATGTAGCTATAAATGGGATTTATTTTGTTATTTCGAAAGATTCAATTTGAGGAAATGTAAATTGTGGAGCGCACAATAGAGACTTTAGCCAGATTTGGGGCATGGAATTGAGTTTTTAATGATTTGAATTATAATTTTGTAAGTTTCATTTATCTTTCGCGCTTTTCAATTCATTCCAAAAATAAGTACATATTTTAACTTGAGAATCTTATTATCCCTCCACCAATGAAAGGAGGGTATATTAAATAAAATATATAATATAATAAATATTCGTCGTAGACCCCATAAAGTACGAGGTGAAATGAAAAAATTGCAACCAACTTCAGACTGCTGTCATTTCAAAGCCACTCGTCCGACAGCTGTTAAAATTATTCCTGCGACAGCTCATTATATTGTTTACAAGCGTACAAACGCATTTTGGAGAGGATTTCCCAGAAATAAGTTTTTCGTGATGGAATTCAAGCTCATTATATTGTTTACAAGCGTACAAACGCATTTTGGAGAGGATTTCCCAGAAATAAGTTTTTCGTGATGGAATTCAAGCGTGATAGTGTGATTTCTTCATATTTGGCTGGAAAACCACAAGTTGCTATCGTTAGAACACTCTAGCATTTAAATGTGAATAAATCCTTTGTGTCTTGTACCATCGCTCGTTACCGTGATTTTGGTAGTGTAGCCCGACGTCAAGCACGTGGACGGAAAAAAAACAGCAAATGGTTCGAAAAGTAAAGAAGCAACATGATCGAAACCCGCGACGAACCCGTGGCCGAAAAATGACTCGTGAGCTGAACATATCGCAATATTCCATTCGGCAAATATTGAAAAATAAGCTCGGGGTAACACCATTGAAATTCCAAAAAGTGCAAGAACTTACACCGCAACAGAAAGAAAATAGACTCAAAAGAGCTAAAGAGTTGTTTCGTTTGGCCGAAAGTGGTGAACTGCCAAATTTGGTTTTCTCCGATGAGAAAACATTTGATGTCCAGCAGAATGATTGTGTGTACTTGCCAAAAAGGCCAGCTGAAAATGTGCACCTTCGGTTGGCCATCAGAACTCAAACGCCGGCCGTGGTGATGGTGTGGGCCGCCATTACAGCCGATGGTCGCTCTCCGCTCGTATTAATCGACCGTGGCATCAGAATAAATGCCGAATATTATTGCGAAAATATTCTGGAGGGTGTATTTAAGCCTTGGGCATGGAAACATTTTGGCCGTAGACAATTGGCATTCCAACAGGACTCAGCACCATCGCATTCAGTACGCGCCACCCAAGAATGGTTACAAAATGAGATTAATTGCTTCATTTCCAGCGCACACAAGAACAATTTACATTTGTACTTATTAAAAAAATGAAAATTGCATATCATTATTACGAGTGTCTATACGATGCGATGTGTTCTGTCTGCGTAAAAATACAACATTTACAACATTTCATTTACAAACTTGTATGTCTAAGAAATCGAAACTGTTACCCTGATAATTAAATGAAAATTCAAAAATACCATGATAACTTTCCACACACAACTTGTTGATAATGGCGAAGAAAAGAAAAGTGCGTGCAAAACCAATGTCGGTAGTTGGGAGAAGCCAATGTTATTAATGTAAATAGATTGAGGAAAAAACATGAATAAACAAATAAAAACATGTATGTAAGAAAATTAATATACAGTGGAAACAAAGATAACATCGAAAATCATTAGCAATGTGTTGAGGTGATAGTACTTTACCAACAAACATCTCCACATATTTTTTTTTTTAAATTGGGGAGAATATACAAATAATTTTAGTCAAACTATAAACATAATTTATAATGGGGGTTTTCCAATAATAAGATGTGTTATTTTGATATTCAACGAAATATGCTTTATTGAAATAAATAATTATTTCTAAATAAAGAAGAAAAACAATGTGACATCCATATCCCTTTCATGAAATTTTACTTGACCAAATCACAAAGTCAAAAGTCTTCGGAATTTTGCTTATTATATAGGGTCAAATGCCATAATTTTTACATTTTTTTTAATTTATTGAATGAAAACAAAAAATGTCGGAAATAGCATCAAATTTCAGAATAAGTTTAGATTTGTTCGAATTGGTCACCTTAGGCACGAATTATGGCCTTCAAACTGCCAATGAAACCGTCACAGGCTGGCCGAATTGTTCTGCGGTATTTTGGCCCATTCTCGGCGAAACGCTTTTTTGAGGTGATCTACACTTTTATTTTCAGTGCCAACCTTGCTTTCCAAAGTACTCCAGGCACAATATTCCAACGGATTGGTATCCGGAGATTTCGGTAGTCATTGTGCGCTGGAAATGAAGCGAGGAAATTAATTTTGTAACCCATCTTGGGTGGCGCGTGCTGAGTGCGATGGTGCTGAGTCCTGTTGGAATGTCCAAGGTCTGCGGCCAAAATGTTTGCATCCCAAAGTTTTAATACACCCTCCAGAATATTTTCGCGATAAAATTCGGCATTTATTCTTATGCCACCGTCGATTAATACGGGCGGAGAGCGACCATGGCCGACGCTTGAGTTCTGTTGAACAACAGAAGGTGAACATTTTCAGCTGACCTCTTTAGCAAGCAAACACAATCATTTTTTTTTTTTTTGTTTACAAACTGCTGGACAACGACTGTTTTCTCATCCGAGAAAACTAAATTCCGCAGTTCAACACTTTTGGCTAAGCGAAGCAACTCTTTAGCTCTTTTGAGTCTATTTTCTTTCTGTTGCGGTGTAAATTCTTGAACTTTTTTGGATTTCAATGGCTTTACCCAGAGCTCATTTTTCAATATTTGCCGAATGGAATATTGCGATATGTTCAGCTCACGAGCCATTTTTCGTTCACTGCGACGCAGGTTTTGATCAAGTCGCTTCTTTACTTTTCGAACCATTTCTGCTGATGTTGCTGTTTTCTTCCGTCCACTTCCTTGACCCCGGGCTACGCTACCAGTATCACGGTAACGAGCGATGGTAAGAGACACAAAAGATTTATTCACATTTAAATGCTGGAGTGCTCTAACAATAGCATAACCAAATATAAAGAAATCACACTATCACGCTTGAAAATTCACACCAAAATGCTTTTGTACGCTTGTTAACAGCTGTCAGACCACTGGCTTAGAAATGACAGCAGTCTGAAGTTGGTCGCAGTTTTTCCATCTCACCCTGTATATTATTTGATATTTCCAAAATGTGCATTATCAAAATAACGGATGTAGACTCCAGGTCTCTTTAGACAAAGTCCGTTTCCGTCCGTTTTGGAGTTTATTTAAGGCTGTCCGTCCGCCCGTCTATTTGGCGGGTGCGCACGATAACTCTCGAAGGGACTATCCGATTTAATCCTAACTTAGTACATCATAATGTTGTTGTCAAACTTAAATCGAGTTCGGTCCCCCACAAAAGGTCAAAAATTTTAACAGAAATTAATTTACAGTATCGAACCAGAAAGGATCACCAAAATTTTGAATAATTATGACTCTCATAAAATAAAATAAGCATTCGATTCCTTTAAACATCACACATTCCAAAATTTCTGTTAACACAAGATCTGAAGTGAATATGGGATATATCGGACCACTCCTTCTGATATCTCCCAGGATCAAATTTTGAATAACTATGAGCATTCGATTACTTTAAAACTATGCACATCTTAATATTTTTACTAACAAAAGATCAGCTGTGAAGATGGAATATATCGGACTACCTTCAATTTCATAAAATGGGAAATTCGCTTCGGACTCTCTTCAAATTTCATACACCGCAATATTTTTATTAATGTAAAAGCAGAGTTAGTTCAGATGAGAAGTAGATAATATTGTTCCACCCCTTCGTAAGAGGTCAACATTTTTCATAATGTTTGCCAATTTTTTTTTTAATAAACTGACATATGCTGGCGCTGCACATCTGTCAAGGATTTCGGAGTCAAGACGATATTATCGATGGATTAATTTTCATGCATTTTAAGGACCCAATCAGCAAAGAAAATACCTTATTGATTATCGGCTGGCGTAAGTCCTTGTGTTTACTGAACTTTATATGACTTATAATGTATAATCCTTGACTTCAAACTCTTTCGGCTAAAGCAACAGTATACTTAGTTGTTCTTAAGCGTGTTTTATTCTTGTCCCGACACTTCCCAAAAGTGCTTTAGTTTTGGTACCTGTAGATGCGAGATTTTTACAATTTTGATAATGCATTTTAATAATTTCAATGGCTGGTTGAAGCGTATCACGTTCCATTGTTAGTAATGACATAGCTTCTACATCCAAATTTGGTCATTCAAAATAAAATCACTTGTTGAAAAACCCCCTATAAATCCAAGCCCCATAATAGCGTAGTAATATGTCCGTTTTCTATAATTGTGTTTAATAATACCCTATAATTTTAGCACTCAATAAAACATATTATAGCATAATATACCTACCTCTATCCGAAAGGTGTGCGTGGTGTCATCGAGAAATAGCACTGTAATACATTGTTGTCTTTGTTTCTTATCTCGAGCCAGTTCTGTAGTTCGTAATTGGTAGTGGCGACTTAAATTACTAAGGCGAAAACGTTCAAACATTGCAATGAGCCATCATGGTGAACTACCAAATTTCTTTTCTTATACCACGACTCTTTTGATTCGATTGGATGTTGTGTGGTTTTGTTCTTTGTGTACGTTACAAAATATGAAATTTAAAATTTCAAAATCTTTTCTTATATCCTTGCTACATTTGTTTTGTTCTTAACAAAAGTGTGCTAGTTTTTTTTTCGATTTTTATTTAACGTTGATAATGGATGGAATACGATGTTAATGCATATGTTTTTTCTTTACGTTTGTATAAAGATTTATGTATATATTAAAAATAAGTAGATATCGCTTATTGCTAACTTTGAAGCAGTTTAAAGTCTTGACAGTGGTATCTGAAAAGAAGAAAGAAAAGAAAAATAATTGTATAATTAAGTAAGTTGCGTATTTGTATATATCTTTAAATGTTATAAATTATTTTATAGCTTAGTAAGAAAAAATTTGATGTAGTTTTTCAATCAATATAACATTCTGAAATAGCCCAAATAACACTGCACAAGTTTACGCCGAGAGTTGACCAATATCTATTATCTCCAAGAATTTTGTTAATCTATATACAGGGTGAGATGAAAAAATTGCAACCAATTTCAGACTGCTGTTATTTCTAAGCCACTCGTCCGACAGCTGTTAAAATTATTCCAGTGACAGCTCATTATATTGTTTACAAGCGTACTAAAGCATTTTGGTGAGAATTTTCAAAAAAAAAAAAAAATTCGTGATAGAATTCAAGCGTGATTGTGTGATTTCTTTAATTTGGCTGGAAAACCAAAAGTGGCTATCGTTAGAGCACTCCAGCATTTAAATGTGAATAAATCGTTTGTGTCCCGTACCATTGCTCGCTACCGTGATACTGGTAGTGTAGCCCGACGTCAAGGAAGTGGACGGAAGATACAACAGCAACATCAGCAGAAATGGTTCAAAAAGTAAAGAAGCGACTTGATCGAAACTTGCGTCGCAGCGGTCGAAAATGGATCGGGAGCTGAACATATCCCGGCATATATCGGCAAATATTGAAAAATGACATTCCAAAATACTAAAGTTTCGATCACCTCGTCGGGAATGGGCGATCACATCGTCGGGAATGGGCCGCAGAACAACATTCGGGCAGCTTGTGACGATTTCATTGGCAGTTTGGAGGTCATAATTCGTGTCAAAGGTGACCAATTCGAACAAAGCTGTTTTTTTATCTCACCCTGTACATTAAAGAGTTGTTAAATAACGCCCAGATGAAACGGCTGAAGCTTTAATGTTGAATATGCAGGAGAGACAGTTTGAGTGTGTAGGCGTGGGAAATTCGTACTTAGCAAAACGAAAAGTACTAAAATGTATTAAAAATTGAATACTTTTGTATTGGAGAAACGGAACGAGCTAGATATTTGTAATGAGAGTCACTAATGGAGTGCAGGATAGATTTAACAAAGGGTTTTTGGAATATCTAACTTTAAGGTTATGAATAGTTCTAAAATGTTACTAAAATTCTAAAATGGTCCCATTAGGTATTATGTGAACGAAAAGAGTTGAAAACAAGTAAAAAAAAAAAAAAAACATTAAGTTCGGTTAGGCCTAACCAGGCCTCCACCATTGGGTAAAGAAAACATTTTTACATAAAAGTGGGTACGGCTATACGTGGGCTATACAAAAACGCGGACCTATACATACAATGCTTCACCACCCATTATGACCAACAAATTCCAATTTTTATACAAACCCGTGGACAAACGTGGTGAAAAACATCAAAATACCGAATATCGGGAGGTATCGTTATATGGCGGCTATTCCAAAACGTGGACCGATATATCTGATTTTTAATACCAACCATCTTAGACACAATATAAATTGTTTAAGCTCTACGTCAAATAATGTGGACTGTATTGTGATTTCAACGAACAGACAGACGGACATCGTTAAATCGACTTAGAATTTTATGATGATTATGATGATATTTAGGAATGCTCCAAACGGAATGGCAAAGTTAATATACCCTCCTTTTTTAAAGGTTGAGGGTATAACTAGAAATTTGGTATGAGAATCGTGGTTGGAGAGTTGTACGAAAGTACTAAATGGTACTCATTTTTGATCACTGTTGGTGTTCTAGAATGGAGACATGTAGATTTTATTGGATAAATGTATAATGCTGAAACTCTGAAATTTGTTAGTTTCTAGGGTTTACATATGGAGATGTTGACAGACAGAAAATTGGATGTGAGTCCATTGTGGAATGGTTTTACTATTATCATCCTTGGTAAATTTCAAAATTAAGGGTATTAAAGACTTTTTGGTGTTGTAAAAGATAAACATTTTCCTATTATTCTTTCCGAAAAAGGAAAAACTTGATTAATGTATAAAACCTTGTAGGACTGGTAATTTATTACAATGTATGATGTTTTGACAAAAAAATGTTACCAAACTGAACAAATTGTGCATTTTGAGTACTAAAAATATATAAACACGAACTGCTGGAACATATCTAAGGTATTAAGATGGAATTTTCTCTGACGAAGTGACAGGCACTTGCTAGCATTCAACATAAGTTAATGCACGTATTCTAGACATTTATTGATTCGTGGATTATAAAAGATACAGGGAGAAGAGAGATTTAGTGGAGATGGAGAAGAAATGACATTTATCTCATTCAACTACCTTCTTTTCCGTACACTTTCCCTACCTATTTACGAACTTATTCTGGAGATACAGTATATTTTCTCTAAGGTAAAAAGAGAAAATATGTAAAAGTTTTAATGTGTTCTTTAGGGATTCTCCTCAAAGAAATAAAAATAATATTCAAGAATAAATTCACATTTCCATTGAAAAAATAATTCAAAAATAATCCTGCTCATTGTCTTATAACAAAGGATGGATTATTTACAATTCGTCACATTAAAACAAATATATATGGATCTTACAATCTCCACAATGACATATTATATCCTTATGTGAAGGTTTTATTGTTCAATAGTTATTACCAAAATGACAGACATTGACGTAAATTGCATTTTTTATTATTATTTAAATTTATTTTACAATGCTTTACAAAAAAGGCTTTACTATAAAAGAAAATGGAAAACTCTACAATAAGACACAGAAAATGTTCATCGCGTAAGGCGAGAATGTGTGAAATGTAGGGAGGCAAGGTTTAAAAGCCAGCACCGATTGAAATTGGCCTTAACTTTACAGTGCAACTGCCATGAAATGTTGACAGCCAGCTATTTAGGTCGTTTTGATGTGCTATTTAGGCCTAAACGGCAATGAAGAAACAAATATAGCAAACAAAACAGCAATAGCTATGAGTTCGTCTCAGCTATTTTTATACCCTACACCACAAGGTGGTCAGGGTATTATGTCTTTGTGCATTTGTTTGTAACAGGCAAAAGAAAACGGGATAGATCCATAGTTCTCTTTGATGATCTGCACAATGTGAGTCGATTTGTGCATGTCCGTCCGTCTGTCCATGTATTTTTGTAAATAAAGTATAGGTCGCATTTAATGCCCGATCCAGATAAAATTTTGCACAAATCATTTGTTTGGCCCAAAGACGAACCCCATTGAACTTGTGTAATATCAGTATGTAATTTTGCACATACTACCAAATTAGGTCTGAAAATAAGTATGCCGAATTTGATCGAAATCGGTTCAAATATAGCTATACCTTCCATATATATTGTTCGTCCGATTTGTTATTTTTGTCCACCGCAGCCGTAATAGAGTGCACATTAACAACAATATTTGGGGAAATATATCAAATACAGCTCACAAATACCCTTGCTAAATTATAACGTTTTAGATTTAAATATAGTTCCCATATACAACTTCGTCCGATTTGCACTCTATTGTAAACCAAATTTGTAATATTAGCCCAAATGGGATGGAATTTAACACTTACGACCAAATTGAGTCTAGAAATTAATATGTCAAATTTGGTGAAGATGCTTTCAGATATAGCTATATCTGTCATATATATTGTTTATCCGATTTCTTATATTTGTTCCCCACAGCCGTGATATGCTCTCCGTAACGACCATATACCAAACAGGGAAATATATCAAATACAGCTCAGAAATACATTTGCTAAATTTTATCGAGATCGATACAGATTTGGATATAGCTCCCATATATATCTTTAATAAGACTCGATGTTTCTGAAATTTACACAAAAACATTTAGGAATTTACTGCGGTAAAATTAGGCTACTTATTTTATAAAATGTCAAAGCGGCGTGGTGCCTTCCACATTCCCCTTTTTAAAAAACGCAGCGTTAGATGCGCTGAAACATCTTTGACAATATATTACGCTACAATCACTATCCAGACACCTATAAAATTCATCGTAATTCTATCGAAGCTAGAGATGGGTTGTTATAAGTCCAGGCGTCAGTTCCTTAGAGTTCGTACTGACAATAAATAAAAACAAAATAGTTAAAATAATAATATGTGATATTTATATCTGTTATTACTAGAACCTTCGCAGGGACATTGCATTCCTTCCAACTGTGAATATGTGTCTCGTCGTATCTATAACGTGACTCCACTTTTTTCACTTATTCGACTTGATACCAGCAAGTTTGCGATGTCTTCCATTAAAGGATTTCTAGGTAATGTCACTGTTTATCAACAACTCGTCCATCATTTTTTGGTTTTATACCTCTCAATACCATGAGTTTGTAAGGCCAAGCGATACATTTAAACATAAATGTATCAGTTGTAAATTCCAGTATTACTGCCTTTAACTTATCACCCTTCCAAATGGTTTTGTTTATTTCTCTTTTGATAAATATTTAAATACTATATCATTATCTGCAATATAAGCTCGACGAGTGCGATGACACTAAATACGTAAAGCTACCGAAAAGATATGTAAAATGAGAAAGTATCCGCTGAAAACAATTTGTAACCGACAGAATAGGTGGGTATTGTTTGTTTCTAGCTTTGCGTAGCGGAAGTTATGGAATTTGTCATTGTTGCTGAGGCAAATGCAGCTACTACTTCTGCTGCAGCATTATCATGTTGAATAGAGGCTTGTTGTAGACAAAGCTTCACAAACGAACACCACTCGCAAGTTTCAAATGGATTGCCATTGTTTTTGATTATATATGCAATATTTTCATAAAATACTACCCAACATACAATGTTATTAAGGGTTTGGGAAGTGGAAATGTCTTTCCTTTTGCGGAT